CTCAAGACCAATCGAATGGCGCAAGAATTAGAGCTCCATCTCTTAACACAAAAAACTAGGTAGCTTTTTGCCGGGATATCTTCGCTTTAGAGCTATGCTTAAAAACGAATTTTTCCTGCAATTACGTTGCATACAGAAAATTTTCAAAAATTTTCAAAACATATTTCTTAATTCAGTTTTCAATGTTGAAGCCGAAAGAAAACGTTTGGAAGTTTCAAAATACAAAGGAGAAAAAAAAATATTCAATTTTTTGGAAACGTGAAGATTTTTCCTGATGTTGAGATTCTCAGAGTATTTCGAATTTCTCTCCATGAAAACATGCACTGAGAAGGCTAGAAAGGTAATATTCCTGATCAGCGTGAAATTCTCTATCAAATGATGTATAAGAAAACCAAAAATAAAAATATGCTGAAAACTTTTAAATTAGCGGCGCCTTCTATATTTCACCCTGATCAAACATCGGCTGCTCGCGTTTTCAAAAGGGTCAAAAACGAGGGCGGTACCCTTAAGTGATATGACTTTACTGGTCAATCTTGATTAAACTACAGTTGATCCATGACGTTTTTCAAGCGCTATGAAGTGGTATATCTAAAGTTAGCTTTTGATGAGTTTTAGGTAGAGAAAATAACTTTTTTCTGTAAAACTTAATTAGTTAAAAATACAATTTTCATCTAACAGACAGACATAACATCATGACATGATCGTTCTATACAGTAGAATCATATTCTAAATACTCCTGTTTATATAAAACAGAAAAGTTTCATCAAGGTGTGATGATGCTAATTTTGGATGTTGTAGATGTTATGATGGTGAACGGCGGTTTAGACTTTTTAGACCTTTAGACTGTCTTCTAGAATAGGGCATCCTAGCCGCGGGGGAGGAGGGGGGCAGTTTGAGGGTGAGTCACGATACTCAAACTCCAAGTTGAGCACCTTTGGATGTTGACTTTTTCTAGAAGAAAGTCTAAAAAGTCTAAATTGCCGTTTACCACCATAACATCTACAATATCCAAAATTTGCACCATCACATCTTCCTCAAAAGTTTCCACAATATCTGTCGATGAGAGTGACACGGTAGAGCACAATACATGGGCGTAAGTCACCTGATAATATTTCTTCAAAAAGAGAATAGTTGTTTATTGTGGAAAGTTGAGCAATGAGATTGTATTTAGTTCGTCGAGATCGTGCTCAGTAGATAAATCGTGTTGTCTCATAGAAAAATATTTTGTGTTTTCTTTTTGTTTAGCTATAAAGATGAATAAAAAGTTTTATTTTCACTAAGATTAAATCTTACTGTATGTCCACACAGTACTTTTGTCTTTTTAATGGGACATAGTCGACGAACAAGTTTAATGAATTCATGTCTATATAAACGTGCACATATCAAATCTATATAAAAATCGATACAAAAACTTGTATTAAATGTAATACGAGATAAATTTTGAATAAATATAAAATTCTTATTCTTATTAATTGATGGTAATAATGCTGATAAAACCATTGCTAATAAAAATGGTAATGATAACATAACATATTGAATAACATGAACAAATAACATTAAAATTAATTGATTATCAAGTCGATGTTGTCTTAAACGATAACATTTTTTACGAACATTAATAATAGTTAATAAAGAGAATAGAATAGTTAATGATAAAAAGCCAATAGCAATAGTCAAATGAAATATACCAAAAAATTGAGTATAAAAACCTATTTGAGGTCGACATATTCTGTAATTATCAATTTCAAAATAAATAAGAATATGTAAATGAATTAATAATAAAAATAAAATAATAAATACAATAAAACGATAAGAATTACGAATCGTTACCGATTTTTGTCGTCGTCTATTCGATGAACTCGCACACCAACGATCAATTAGTGCTGTTAATGTTAGAAAAGAAGTGAATTGATAAATAAAATATGAGAAAAAAGTTCGAAAACGACAAAAAAAAAGAGAATAACGTGTTAAATCTTGATTAAAACCGTGTGCTAACCAACGTGTTAAAACACCAAAATAGAGTACAAAAAAATTGTTTATCGATAAAACAAGTGAATAATTGGAAAAAGATGAACGAAGTGACGGTTGAGAAAAGATATAAATGCTGAAAATATTACCAATTGTTCCAATACAAATTATAATTGGACCACTAATAATATTCAATTTGACATAAATATTATTTAAGTCATTATTAATAGTTAATGATTGATTATTCATTTTTCTCCTAGAAATGTAGGTTAACATTGATGAGAAAATCAAAAGTGAGAGACATTAGTAAGGCACCGCTAATTCAAAAGTTCTTTCTCTGAAGGAAACACGCATCATCGGATAGATCTAGTCATATTCCTGATCACGAATATGACCTTTCTTTTTAATTTTGATAAAGTCTTTGGATAGAAAATGGCAAAATACGGGGACGAGTGCAAAATCTCTAAAATTTTTCCGTTTTCAAAAAACATCCTTCCCTGTTTTCTCTCGCACTTCGTCTTCTCACCGTTGTGTTTTTCGAATTCTTTATATATAAATGAATCTAGAAATGTTGTCTAGACAACATTTCTAGATTCATTTATATATA